CCCGCGGGCTCAAGCAATCCACTCACCTCAGCCTCCCAAAGGCGCGGTATTACAGGCTGAGCCACCAAGCCCGGCTGGCGGCTGAATTTTAAGCATGTAAGAATAAATAAAATGCACAATGTTTAATAAATAAATTCCAGATTTTTTTTAGTCCTCTCATATGTACAAATTCTGGATACAAACTTGTTTGGGTTATGTATTTTTAGCCAACTTTGAGTCTTATCTTTATGCTTTCTCTGAGATATTAGCAGTATTCTTAACGTAATCTGTCTTCTTCAAGGGTGTCGTGGATATTTTTGTTGTTTTGCTCTTCCAATGGTCTTATACTTTACTAGTCAGGCTCCACAAAAAACCTTATTGGGTTTGATAGGAAATGCATTAAATCTTAGATCAATTAGGCAGGAATTGACATCTGATACTGAGTCCAATATCATAACGCACTATAGGTCTCACATTTATTTAGATTTTTAAAATATCTTTCAATAAAGTTTATCATTTTCTCCATAAATGGTTTGTACAGTTTTTGTTTGATATGATCCAAGGTGCTTTATATTTTTAATGATGTTATAAATATCATTTTTGTATTGATTGCTAATGTTATATAGAAGCACACTAATTTTTATATGGTTCCATATCCTGAAATTTACTAAACTCCTTGATTCACTCAAATCATTTACCTGTAGATTTTTAGATGTTTAGATGATCCACATAAAATATTATATCATCTGCAAATAATGACAGCTTTGTTTGTTTTTTTTCAACCTTTCTAATTCTTATTTCTTCTTTTTGTCTTACTGCACTGGCTAAGATTCATAATGAAAAGTGGAACAGGAGCAATGAGGACTGGCACCCTGGCCTCATTCTTAATCTTAAAAGGAATGTACTCAGCGTTAGGTGTGTGATATTTGCCATAGGTATTTTTGTAGATGCCCTTTATCAGAGGAAGAAAATTCCTTTTGATTACTGGTTTGCTAAGCATTTTTATCATGAATGGATCTTTTTTCCAGAAAAAATTTCTTGAATTCTTGAAACCTTTTATGTATAAGAATATATTCCTAATGCTTTCAAAAATAAACTACATTTTTTGATAAGTATCAAAATTTTAGGCCTGGCAAGGTGGCTTATGCCTGTAATCCCAGCACTTTGAGAGGCTAAAGCAGGAGAATTGCTTGAGCCCAAGAGTTCAAGACCAGCCCGGGCAACATAGTGAGACATTGTCTCTATAAAAAAATCAAAAAATTAGACAGGCATGGTGGCATAAGCCTGTATCCCAGCTACTTGGGAGATTGAGGTGGAAGGATCACCTGGGCCCAGGAGGTTGAGGCTGTGGTGTACCATGATTTTGCCACTGCACTCCAGCTTGGGCAACAGAGTGAGTCCTTGACACACACACACACACACACACACACAAAATTAAATCAAGAGCTTTCCTTCCTCAAATCTTTCTAGACTTGGCTCCAATATTTATCTTAATAAAGAAAAAATATAAGTATTTAGAAAATAAAGCTGTTTGTCCTTAGCTTACACATGGGATTTTATCAATGCTATCAATCTTACTCAACATATTTAAATTAGAGAGGAATCAATTGTTTGTTAAAGAAAAATTTTTCTTGGTAAGGAATGAGGTGAATCTTCTCTGAAAAAAAAAAAATGTTTTCACATTTGACCAAGTTCAAAGCCCTGCCTGGTTTGTTTCTCCCTGAATAGAAGGTAATTTTAAAACAGAAAGACTTGTTGAGTTTGAGATTCTAGTGGGGGTGCAGCTGTGGACTGATGATAGTAATAATTTTTAAAGTTAATTTGATTTGCTAAGAGCTGAATATCTGGGATGGCAAGGCAAAAC